ATTTAACCACTGAAAAAAATGACTGCAAAATACTATTCATCACACAATAGTCAATAAAGTTACAAAGTACATAGGATTATCAAAACAATTTATATTTTAAAACATGAAAAAACTTCCAAAACAACTTATACTAGGATAATACCCGCGCTGTGCGCGGGTTGAAATGAATATAGATAAACAAAATTCAAAATATGTTAGTGTATATTCGAACTCGTGATAATTTTTATAAGCATGTGTACCACTTTAAGATATAAATAAAATACATAAACCAAACTAAACCAAAATAGAATTCACCTATTCGAACCGAATCCACTTATATAATAATCTAAATTGGTACATTAATTTATATACTAAACTATCCAAACCAAATTTTAGTAGTTTATATACTAAACTTCTATGAATAATGTAGTTTTCCATTAAAAGGAGATTTTGTACATGACACATGATACTCAACTATTTGACATTGGAAATCATGTTTTTGTTATCTACAGTATATATAAAAACCAAACTAAATATCAAATGACTTTTTTATGGAAATACCAAGTAATCACGCAACTGATTCTAAAATCTATTCCTCAAACCATGCCAAAACTCACTTAATCTCATAATTTTGGCCACTCATAAAAAGTAAAAACACTATATTATTAAATAGTCTATGGCATGAATATACATGCGCAAAACTAGAAATATATCATCGGTTAGTAAAGAAGCCATTCAAAAGCATTTTTGAAATCGCTAAAGCACATTAGAACAATATAATGCAAATTTTACAAACAATACAAAAGCCTAAAAAAATACTAAAACACGTCAATAAAAAAAAAGTCTAAAGATCCCAAAAAAAAAAACAAATATCAAATTTGATTATAATTTATATTTAGAAAGGTGGCAAGAATCTTTTGGATTTATGCTGAAGAAAATAACATCCAAAGAAAAAGTTCGATTCATCTAAAAACATAACAAAGTTGAAAATTTTAAATGACAAATGCAGAAAAAAGTGAGGATTGAAAATGACATTGTTACAAAAAAAAAAAAAATATATATATATATAATGAAACGTATTAGAGAAAAATTAGGTTTATGTATTTACCAAATAAATCTAAACCTTAATTGATTACAATGATACGTAGATCTTATCGAATTATTAGTTACCAAAAAATTAGTTTAACAAAGATAGATTTTATTTTTGGCCAATAGAAATTTTTGCCATGTATAATTGGTTGACAAAAATAAAACGAGAAAATCTTGCTTTTAAGAAATATTCTATATATTGTTAAGTTTCTTGTGAAATTTTTGAGCATAATTTAGGACCAAAATGTTAATTATAATTAGCCTATATATTGTGATAATAAATAAATATTTTTGAAATACTTTTGATAAATATTTTTGAAATAAATAGATAGTAATTGTTTGAAAATTAGGATAGTGTTAGAAGTTTGTTTAATTATGTTTGGGTATAGTGATTATATTATAAAGAGTGTTTGGCTAGTAAGATAGTATGAGTAATTATTATAGGATTTTATTTATTTTAAAAAATCTAAGAAAAATTGAGGGAGTGACACCTAAGTAAAAATTGCCTCCAATGTTTCTCCTTTAATATATAATATATAAAGGATTTTGAAACGGAAAGAGTAATTCAAAAATAAAATAAAGCAGAGCCCTTTTGTGTTGATCTTCGTCTTATCCCAAATTCTCTCCATTTTTTTTGACGACCTTTATATTAGT